TAAAGTAAAATGGTAGGTTTAAATGTATATACTTATCAGTAACTCAAACATGTAAACAAATGGTTAAATCAAAAAAGGACAAATTTGCCCTACCCAGTTTGGCTCAATGGACCAAACAGCAGCCTGCAGACCAAAGGGTCCTGGGTTCGATTCCAGTCAAGGGCATATACCTTGGTTACATGCTCCTCCTCGGCCCAGGCCCTGGCCAGTGATTGTGCAAGAGGCAACCAGTGGCTGTGTTTCTCTCAACCGATGTTTCTCTGTCTTTCCCACTTTCCCTAAAAAAAAAATTAATGGAAAAATATTCTCAGGTGAGGATTAACAAAAAATAAAAATAATCGCCCTAACTGGTTTGGCTCAGTGGATGGAGTGTCAGCCTGCAGACTTAAAAAAGGCAGATTTTAAGGAATCCAACTAAATTTCCAGCAGATACTTCTTTTTAAAAAGGGTACAGAACAAAAATAAAACATAGCATAACAAAATTTGTGACTTAGAACTAAGACAATGCTTAAAGGGAAACTCTTGACATCAAATCCTACATTAGAAAAGAAGGATCTCAAGTTAATGGCCTCCGCTTTCATTTTATGAAAATAGGAAAGAGCAAATTAAAACAAAAGCATGTAGAAGGAAGGAAATAAAGACAAAATAAATCAATGAAATAGAAAGAGAGAAACATATATAGAGAGTGAAAAAGACAAAACAAAACCAAGAAACCAAGAAATGTTTTCTTAAAATAAAAGTATTAGATCTCTAGCTAGACTGCTAAGGAAAAAAAAGACAAAAATTACCAGTATCAAAAATAAGAGATGACATAAAAGTATGAAGGGGATAACAAAATATTATGAACAACTTTATAACAATAAATTCACCAATTTAGATGAAATGAGCATATTCCTCAAGTACACAAACTACCAATGCTCACTCAAGAAGAAATACAGAATATAAATAGTCCTAAAGCTATTGATAATACTAAATTTGCAGTTAAGAACCTTGCCACAAAGGTAACTCTAACAAGATTTGAGATCTCACTTAAAAAACTTTTAAGGAGGGAAATGGGCCTACCATATAATTAATAACCACTGCATAAAACAAGGGGTGAGAAGGGACAGATTACAGAGAGAAAAAAATAAGAGGAGGGAAAG